TAATGGTTCTAAGGGCAGTTATACAAGGTGGTGCAGAGACTGGATGGAGCACCAGCCCCAGGTCTGAAGAACCTGAGTTCAAATATAGCCTCAGGCACTTCTAGCTGTGTGACCCTGGGCAAATCACACAGAGATTGCCTCCTCACCTCACAAAAAGATAAAAAGCCATAATAATAGTTCTTTACTTTTTTTGGTTCATTTTCTGTTTTGGTATTCTTATATAATTTTATCTTTGGTGTTTCTAGGCTTTTTCAGTAGTTGAGAAGCTTGGATCCCTTAACATTTTTATACTATCATTTTAACTGAAAAGTCTGATTAAAAAATGTCTCAGAAACCTTTTCTTGAAAGACTTTTTCTTAAAAACAAGATATTGTGAACCAAGGGAAAACATGAGACAAGTATAGGGGATAGTGATTTGTGTAGTTTAGTGGAAGCCTAGAGTACATGGTGGGGAGTAGTGGACAGTAAGGACCAGAAAGGTAGTTTGTAGATTGATGCTAAAACAACAAGTGTTTTAACAACTCAGGTCCCTTAAAATTCAAAATAATGATAACTTACACTTAGTACAGTCCTATGAAGAAAGGAGTTCAAAATATTAACCCCATTTTGCAGATAAAGAAACTGAGTTTAAGGATTTCCAGAGACAGGACCCGGCTTATCATTTTTAATATGAATGCAGTATTTCCTTGCCTGCTGCTGACACTCCTAGTTTTGTTCAATTTTTTATCTTCTTTTTATGTACTCTAGTCAATGAGACCCAATGCCATTGCAAATCAGCACCTAGGTAATGTGTGTGTGTACTGGTCACTAGCATTGAAGAATTTGACTAGGAGGTCATAGTTTTCCCTTGGAGTCTACCTGGGAACATGTGGCAGACCAGACCTCTATGCTTTAGGCATATACAGACATTCTTTTGATCCAGAAAGATGGGGGCAAATAGCAGGAACGACAGAAAAACGGAAAAGAATGTTTTCTTTATTTTGGTTTCTCCCCCACTGCCTAGTTTAGGGCTTTGAACCGAAGTGCACATACTAGATGTTTATCCAGTAGAGGCTAACTGAGAAAGCTGTTTCACCCAATCATATTCAAACAGGAAAGGGAGAATTTCCTTGACTCCGGTGACACAAGGAGACAAAGTGCAGTCTTACAATGAATGACAAAGGCAGGAAAATAGACCGGAGAGCTCAGAGAGTTGGTAAGGGCAAGACTGGGAGTGAGTGACAGAGGTGATTGGTGGGAGGCGATGAAGAGCTTGAAAGAGCAAGAGCCACAGAAAAGAACAGGTCACGTTCTCTAGTTTTGGGGAATGGAAAACCGGGAATTGTGTCATCTTGGGGAACTGAGGGGTTGGAAACTCAAGGAAACATAAAAGAACTGCTTTCTGGACAACCTTAGGCAGTTGTAGAAGAGGACTAAAATGGCCAGAGGGAGCTAGAAGCATGTGTGGACATATCATGTTGTAGTGAAAAAAGTGCCATGTGAGCAGGGGCAGTCATCTGTTTATTTTGTATAGACTTGTGTGTGTTTTTTCTTTTTAAAAATTTTGTTTTATCCCATAGCATGTTTCTTAGCAATGTTATCATTTGGAAATACAAATGACATCCAGCTTTAAATCCTACGCACGTGGCATTTTTTTTCCCAACAGATATTACCCATTCATTCTCAATAACAGTAATGTCAGTAGCTGTATCACCCCATTAAGGCTGTGGATTGAAATACTTTTTTTTTTGGAGCACGATGACACAGAATATTTTCATCATTATTTTGTGATTTGGTGCCTGAATTTTAATTCAGAGCAACACCGCTGCAGGGCAGTAAATTATATTGAAATAACTGTGGCATAACATAAATATCCTTTAGTACATTTTGTACATTTTCTTCTTTCATTTCTTTGTTGCATAGATAGGCCTGGTAGAGGTATAACTAGATCAAAGGATATGCACGGTTTAGTAATTTTTGTGGCGGAGTTCACATTGTTTTCCAGAATGGCTGGACCACTTCACAGCTCTACCCACTATGTACTAATTTACCCCTCTTCCCCAGTCCCTCCAACATTTATAATTTTATTCTGTTATCTTTGCCAGTGTAATGGCTGTGAGGTTGTTGTTTTAATTCACATTTCTCAAATTATTAGTGATTTAGACCTTTTTTTTTTTTTACATACTTGTTGGTAGCTTCAATTTCTTCCTTTAAAATTGCTTGTTCAGGGGCAGCTGGGTGGTGCAGTGGATAGAGCACTGGCCCTGAAGTCAGGAGGACCTGAGTTCAAATCCGGCCTCAGACCAAACACTTGACACTTACTAGCTGTGTGACCCTGGGCAAGTCACTTAACCCCAATCGCCTTAAAAAAAAACAAAATTGTTTGTTCATATCCTTTGACCATTTATTTATTGGAGAATGGTTCTTAGTCATAGGAATTTAAACAAATTCCTGGTATATTTTGAATTTTAAGTCTTTGTCAGATAAATTTGCTGCAAAGATTTCCACCCCTAGTTACCTGGTTCCCTTCTGATTTTCACTATATTAGATTTGTTTGTGCAAAAACTTTTAAATTTTATATGATCAAAGTTGAACATTTTATAGTATGTAATCCCATCACTTTTTTATACAGGACTCATTCCCTATCCATTGATCTGAAAGATAATTTTTTCCTTGTTCTTCCACTTTGTTTATGATGTGCCCTTTTATGTCTAGGTCATAAACTTGTGTTTCCCAAGACAGGCTGTAAATCCTTTGAGGGAAGAGACAATTCACTTTTGTCTTTGTATTCACAAGTGCCTAGTGACGAGGGCTGAGAGGTTTGGGGACTCCTCAAAACCCAAAGTACAAAATGGGTCATCTGGAATGAATTCACAAACTCAAGCAATCTTTAATGCCAAGATGCAAGAAGTTTATTATTACACTTTTCAGCGGGCAAAGATTCTTAAGGAACCTGCAAGAGACTGAGAATGCAGCTAGGGTTTATATGGAAAAGAGCATGGGAAAGAAACGCCAGGAACACTGATGAGGTAATCCAAAGATGCAGGTGTCTTTGGGGGCTATGGATGGGAAAGTACAGGGAGTATACCGGACAGGAAAGGGAATGGATCTTTGAGGTCTGGCAAGAGGAAGAGTTCTTGGGCAGGTCAAGGACACCCCTCTCCCTCTGTCTTAATGAGAAAACGCTCTGCAACAGAGGAAAGCTTTCTCACAACTAAAAAATTGGGAGGCTTCCAGATACATGATCTGGGGGCTGGGGCCTGAGCAGCCCAGCTCTGTGTAGCTGTACCAGCGAGAGAGACAAGGGTCGTGCTGAGGCCCATGTATGAATAACTGCTAGGCACAGTGTCCTTGGGCTGGGGAGTGGTTGTTAGAGGCAGTGTTTCTGGGACTTGGAAGGAATTGGGGTTCAAATACAAGCACAAGCACGCAAGCACCCCATCACTAGGACTTGATAAGAGCTAGGTAAATGCTTGATTGATTGACTGATTGTACTGCCTACCTTTTAACACTCCCACTTCCCATATCCATTTAGTTGTTTCATCTTATAATTTCTTACGGTATACCATCTTCCCATTATGTCTCCTTTTCTCGCTCCAGTAGCAACCATCCTAATGCAGGCCACCCTCACTTCTCACCTTTCTGTACTGCTTGTTTCCTGTGCACAGAATGTTCTCCCTCTTTACCTCTGCCTTTCAGAACTCTTGGCATTTTTCAGGGTTCACCTCAAACCCCACTTTGCGCAGGAGGCCTTTCTTTGTCCCTTGCCCCCCCCCCCAGCCATCCCCTCTGGGGTTGTTACCTTCTACCTTTTCAGTATCTTATCTTAGGTATGCATGTTGTCTCCACCTTTGGAACAGAAGCCCCTTGGGGACAGGGACTACTTTTGCTCTTTTTTATATCCCCTGGCACTTAGTAGACACGTAATGAATGCTTGTTGATTGATTGCTTGATTATGATGAAAGTGCTTTATACTCTTCAGTGCACCTATGATCTCATGACTGTAGGTATTCCCTCATTATGCAGGACAGCCTTTCCATGTTTTCTCATAGGTCCTCCTTAGAGGATTCAACCTACCCAACGTACCAGAGAACTTAGCCTAGGTTTTAGTAACATTTCATGGGTACCAGTACAGTACTCAAGTTTTCCCCTTGTTATCCCACTCTCTTAACACTTTGCTTGAAGAGCCTTTGAAGTTCTTTCCAGCTCTAAATCTATGATTCTATGTTTATACATTTCTCCATTGTCTTTCACACTGGTTCTGGGTAATATGCCGAGGCCTGCAGTTTTCAGTCTTTGAAAATCATGGTATTCCTATAAAAAAGGAAGGTATTTTTTTTTTCAGCGAGATAATCTATTTCAGCGGGTGCTCGATGGTTTGGGGGAGGGACCATGAATGAGGATGGTAGGAAGAAATGGGTGCTTGTGGAATATTGTGTGGAGAAGATCTGGCAGTTGAACCCCTGAGGAAATAGCTTTGTTTAACTGGGAAGGAACATAACAAGAGAAGTCTGGAGAAAATGCAGACGATTAAGAGGCCCTTTGTAGGCAGAAATCTAATGTCTGGAGGAGACCAAATCCTCTTGGGGTGGCAGGAACTTAGGGCATATGGAAGAGAGGAGAATTACAGAGTTAAAGGCTAGAATGATTAGAAGGGAATCTGAAAAGATGATCGTATTGTCTCAAAAATATGAGCAGAAATGCTACAGAAACTAGAGCAATTCATTTAGATGGCAGAGGAAAGAGATGCCAGTTATGAGACCTTAGAAGTGAAATTGTGGTACAAGAAACTAGACCCAGTACTGAGGGAGATGTCTTTTGTGTTTAAAAGGCTTGACTTCGGGGCTATTCCTTTTAGTCAGTAAGGGAATAGAAGCAGGGTTCTGACCACAATAATGATAGTTTGCATTTATATAATGCTTTAAAGCTTGGAAATTGCTCTACTTATTTTAACTTATCTGAGCCTCACAAGAACCCCGTGAGTTAAATAGTTATTAATAGATATTATCCCTATTTTACAGATGAGGCACGTGAGGCACAGAGAAGTTGTGTTTTACCCATGGCCAAACAGTTACTAAGAATCAGAGGTAAGATTTGAATCCAGGTCTTTCTGACTCCAAGTCTAGCACACTAGGCATTGTGGCATAGTATTATTCCAATGTAGAATAATAATACTAACATATGTATGTGGTGCTTTAATTGTTTATAAAGCACTTTTCTCCTAATAATCCAGTGAGATAATGTAGGTATTCACATCTTGCAAACCATGATATTACAAATAATAGCTGAAGGATCATATGATAGAATGATGTTCATATTCCACGCACCGTGCTAAGTGCTGGGGATACAAAGAAAGACAGAAACATATCAACTGCTCTCAGAAAGCTCACCTTCTAACGGAGGATGCAAATGAATAGATGGAAGGTAATCTCCCAGCGAAGGCACAGGTGGTGAGGAGGACTCAGAAGGGCCTCTTCTAAAAGGGGAGATCTGAACTGAGTCTTAAAGGAGCCCACAACGACATGGAGGTGAGGAGGGAGAGCATTTCAGGCCTGGAGCACAGCCAGTGAATACCTACAGGGCAGGGAGATTGAGAGTCTTGGTCGAAGAGGCCAGTGTCACTGGATGAGAGGTAAGATAGAGGAAGACTGGAAAGGTAGGTAGGAAGGGGTCAGGTTGTGAAAGGCTGTAAAATCAAAACAGGAGTTTATATGTGATTTTGGAGGTAATAAGGAGCCACCGGAGTTTATTGAATGAGGGTTGACAGACTGTGCTTTAGGAAAATCACTTCAGCGGCTGAATGGAAGATGGATGGCAGTGGGGAAGATGAGGTATGGAGGCCAACTGGGAGACTGCAGTCTCTGGTGTAGGTGCCGAGCACCTCTATCAAGGTGGTGGCTGTGGGAGTGGAGAGAAGGGGAAGTGAATGAGAGCTTTTGTGAAGGTAGAAATCACAAGAATTGGCAACAGATTGGGATATTTGGGGTGAGTGTAAGTGAGGAGTCAAAGACGATAAATGACTGGAAGAATGGTGGTATACGGGAGAGTCAGGGAAGTAAAGATAATGAATTCTGTTTTGGATATGTTGAATTGGAGGTGTTTGTTTATAGAACATCCAGTTTGAGGTTTCTAATAGATAGTTAGAGATACAAAACTGGAGGTCTGGAGGGAAGTTAGGACTGAATAAATCTGAAAATCATCTGCATGGAGGTGAGATTTGAACCCATGACAGTTTATGAGATCACTAAGAGAAGAAGAGAAAAGAGTGCAGAGCAGACCTTGGGGAACACTTACAAATAGCAGTCATGACTTGAAGATCCAGCAGTGTAGACTGAGGAGTGTCAGACAGGAGGAGAACCAGGAGACAGCAGTGTCACAAAAAGCCAGAGAGGCGAGAGAAGCCAGGAGGAAAGGTGATTACAGAGTTCATGGAAGATGAGAATTTGTAAAAGGCCGTTAGGACTGGCAATTAAGAAGTCATTGGTAACTTGGGAAAGAGCATTTTCAGTTGAGTCATGAGACTGGGAGCCAGACTGCAAAGCATTTAGAACAGAGTAAAAGTGGGCAGCTAGGTGGTGGCACAGTGGAGAGAGGGCTGGGCCTGGAGTCAGAAGACTCATCTTCCTGAGTTCAAATCTGGCCTCCGACACTTACTAGATGTGCAACCCTGAGCAAATCACTTGACCCTGTTTACCTCAGTTTTCTTATCTATAAAATAAGCTGGAGAAGGACATGGCAAACCACTCCAGTGTCTTTGCCAAGAAAACCCCAAATGAATCATGAAGTCAGACGTGACTGAACAACAACACAAATGAGTGGAGGCATCAGTTGTAGATAATCTGCTTTCTCAAAGAGTTTACCCATGAAAGGGAGGAGAGATACAGTGTGATAGGAGGGATAGTTTAAAGTAAGGAAACATGTGTGGGAAACATGTACATGTTTGTAGGCAGCAGTGAGGTAGTCACTAGATAGAGTTTGAAGATTAGTGAGAGGGTAGAGGGAGTTCTCAGCAAATGGGGCTTTTTTTTTTTTTTACAATGAAGTATTCCATGGGGGCCTAAGGAAGGATGAAAAAGTTTGGAAAAGCCACTGTGGTGAGTGGGATAGTGCATTGGTCGGGTAGTATATTGCTGTATTTGAGGGCCCAGTTGAAATTATGTAATGTACATTTGTAGCAGACTCAGCATATTTTCATGATTTTCTCTTGCTCAATTTCAGTGGTATGTGAATAGGAATGAAGGCAATAGATAATGGGTATAATCTAAGGATGGGCAAGGCATGTTTGAGGGTAGGATATGGGTGTGAGGGACTCCAGTGTAGACCATTGTGTTAGACCTAAATTCGTTCACCAAGGGATTGAGATAGGGAAAGGAAGGAGAGTGTGCTGTGAGGATGGCCTGGGAAAGAACTGAGGTGTAGAGGAATTCGAGTTCCTGGTGAGGGTGAAGAACAGGGCGAAGGGCCCTAAGGCAGAGGGGAAAAGGGAATGAGAAAAATAATTATGATCATGAAAAGAAAGTTCAGAGTTCTTGAACCTCTGCCCACTTGGAGCTTACATTCAAAGAGGGAAACAAGATGCACATATATGGGTATATACAAAACATATAGAAAGCAGATGGAAGGTGACTTGGAGGGCAGACCCTACTGGCTAGAAGGCTGGGAAGAGCCTTACGCTAAAGGTGGCCCTTGAGCCACGTCTTAAATGAAATGAGGGATTCCAAGAGGTGAAGTGAGGAGAGAGGAGCATTCCAGGTGTGGGGAACAGCCAGTTCAAAGGCACAGAGATGGGAGACAGTGTCCATTGTGAGGAACAGCAAAGAAGTTAATGTAGCTGGTTTGTAGATGGCTCTTAATCTTGTGTAGGAAATTGAACTTGCTTTTGAAGTCTGTACTGAAATAAATACCTATTGTTAAACCTGATAAAGAATCATAATTTTAAATGGAAATATTGATTGTTTTAAACTTTTGTTATATTTTTATTAATTTATTTATTTTTAGTTTCTGATGTCTTGAGAGCCCATACCTTCCCCTCTCAGCATTGTGGTTTTCAGCACAGACCTCCTCTTTGTGTATTTGAGTGAGTACAAGCTGTTCTGTTAGGGGCCAAATGTGGTACGGTATCTCCATTGACATGAAATACTGGAAGGTTGTTTCATTTTTTATCTTACTGTTTTCAGTGTCATCCTTAATTGCTGTAAAGATGATTGGGCATTAATTGGATCTCTTGCCAAGCTTTCTATAAGTTTGTTTTTTCTGTCCACTGAGATTTAATATTTCATACAGTGATACTGCTCATTTTATTCTTACAAATGGGTTTTTTTTTCTAGGTCAGGGGTCCTCAAACTTTTTCTGTAAAGGCCCCCATAGTAAATATTTCAGACTTTGAGATTGAAGTAGCAAAAATCAAGGTGATTATGTTGGTACTTAAATAATGAGAGAAAACAAAATTTTAATTGACAAAATTCAAAAATATAATAATAAAGTACAAATTTTTAAATACTAATGAGAAGAATGCATTTCTTTTTGGGGGGATAACATTTAATTGGGGTTTAAAGTTAGTGTTGCCTATGAATGACAAATGTTCATCTGTTAATGCTGCTACCTATGGGATTTTATGTAATTCATCTTTGAAAATGGCTTTTCACACAGATAAGTACTTGTTAAAATTGATTATCTGAAATACAAAGGAAACTAAGGACAAAGTTACCTAGCTGTCTATGATTTAATTTGCAAAGCTAACATTTGCATATCAAACCAGGTCACCTGAGTCCCAGAGGTCAGAGACTAGGAGTGATGTAGAGAGTTGCTTTTATATCAAAAAAGGGAAAAAAAAATTACAGAAACTTGTTTTGAATATAATTCAGTTGGATGAAGCAGATCACCTGACTAGCTTCTTCCTGACTTTCTTAATCCTGTTCCAGAAGTCCTTACCTGTAGATAGTGCCTTTTGTAACCAGAAAGTATACTGGGAAAGAGAAACTTGGGGTCAGTGGTTAACAGTCACCCCCCCACCCCATCTTCCTGAGAAGAGTCATTATTCAATTTAAACTCTAGCTCAAGAAAAAAAGGAACTTATACACTAAGATTGGCAAGAGGACTTAAACTTCTAGCTAGCTTTTCTCCATTTGCCAAAAAGGTGGACTTAGCTGCTGATCAACCCTCCAGAAAGGGAAACCTAGCTTTTTTTTTCTTTTAGTGAGGCAATTGGGGTTAAGTGACTTGCCCAGAGTCACACAGCTAGGAAGTATTATGGGTCTGAGGTCACATTTGAACTCAGGTTCTTCTGACTCCAGGGCCAGTGCTCTATGCACTGCACCACCTAGCTGCCCCTGAACCCTAGCTTTTTAAAACAAAGTATTTCATCACAGCAGAATTTCTTGACAAAAACAAAAGGTGAAAACAAGGCTTCAACCAAAATAATTTTCCAAGTGGCTCATTTGTTAGCTAAGCAAGGAAAAGGTATTTACTGATAGCAAGTTAATTAAATTGTGCTTGCAGATGCTGAAGAAGAAATGTGTCTAAATTATCTGCTACTAAATGGAAGTCTTCTCTATCTAATCACTAAATCAATAGGTATCCTAGACTTAAGAGACTATGGTAGTTTGGTTTAGCTGTTAGGGTTACCTTTTCCTAAAGAAGGAAGCTTTATCCTCGTTGACCCTAAAAACAGTTTGTTTTAAGAAAGAAACAAACGATTAGGTCGTGTGTCCACATTTTTGTTTCTCTCAGCTGGTTTGACATGCATTGCATGGGAGTTACAGTCTAAGGGGGCCAGTCCAGAACTGGTTTGATTTGAAAGTTAGGGTGCCCAGTTATATGCCTTTTCAACAGGGGCTGATATCATCCTGACATCATTCTAAGAGGAAACACCTGTTCTATCAGACCACCCTCCCATCATACCAGACCACTTCCAGTCTTGGGCTGTCTAGGCAGAAGAATCTTTCTCTACCCAAGCCTGGGCAGCTCCCAATGCAATCTCATTATCACTAATGTTCTTCTGAACAACTTTTCAGAAGGGGGCTGGCTGGGGGAAGCTCTGAGTCTAAAAATCATTTTTCACATCCTATATAATCAAACTAAAAATAAA